ATATTTTATTCTTGTTTGTAGTAAACTCCTCCTCATCTCTTTTTGAGCCCATTGTTTATAGTCTTTTTTTTTATTCATTCTCTCTAATGACATTCTTTAGAAGGGTATATTTTAAAAAATAAATATATATTTATATATATTATTTTTTAATTAATTTTAAAAATTTTAATATATATATATAAGTTGAGTATTTGTATTTTATATATAGGAGTAGAGGGATTTTTTTTAATGAATGCAAACTGCTGAAATACATCGGACAATGCTCCTCCTTCTCTCAAACTTAGAGTGATTTGATAAATGCAGTTTCTGACTACTAATTATTAGTTTAAAAAAGAAGTCAAAAATCCCGCAATTAATACAAATCACAATTTAGATATTAGAGAAGAAATTCACCATCAAGATTGAGCTCCCAGAGAGAGAGAGAGAGAGAGAGAGAGAGAGAGGTGGATTGCAATTAATACAAATCATAATTTGGATACTAGAAAGATAATCAATTAAGCAACTTCAATTCCGGAAATTAATTTTTTTATTAATTTTATTAAACCCTGAATTGTTGGAATTTAAACTGATTCTTTTTTAAAAAGAAGTAGAAGAAGCATATTTCTATAACAGAAACAGAACGATCTAATATCAGACTTCAGGTTAGGAAACTATAACCTCAGGTTCTAAATTAAGAACCGGATCAAAATTTTGGCTTTGAAATAAACCGGGATCATTTAAGTGGGTAATATATGCATACACACACACACGCATATATATAACGGTACAATTTGATGATTAACTTTTTTAATGGGAAAAAAAAAATCTCAGATTAGGAAACTACGTTTGTTTCCTAATTCAAAACGGAGTGAATTGACATACTTTCCTACCAAGTTTCCTTTTGAAGCCGCTTAAATCTTCTTTCTCATTTCACGTTCACGACCATTAGTCTCTAATTCAACATTCAGAAAGTGAACTCACTTCTACTTTCTAAAGCCACAAACAAACAAAGCATCACACTTCAACTTCCCACTCTCTTCTAGGGGTAAGTTCTTCTTCTTCTTTTTCTCTTCTTATATTATTATTCTAATATCTGGAAATTTCGAATTAATTGTGATACCAAATTCAAGTGTTGTAACCAGAATAAAATCATCCAATAAAGAAACCAGAGAAAGAACGCACCTACATAGACGTTTGGGGAAATTGGTAAGCATTTCCATTTCTCCTTTCTCATCATTATCATTATTATTATGTCAATTGATTCTGTGAGATGAAATGGAATGGAAAAATTAATGAAATGCAAAATCGTTATGTTTTAAATACAAAAAACGCTTACCTTTCCTTAGTTGTAATTGAATGGGGCTCATTAGCTTCTTTTTTTTTTGGGCTGACGGGCCTAATAGTTTATCATTAGCATAAAACGTATCTAGTTTCCGTCCTTATGTTGTGATATTGGGGGAGGGGGTGTGTGTGTGAAATTAGTTTGTTTATAATAAGACAAGATTTCCTGTGGTCAAATTTTGTTTAATGTGGTCGAGTCTGAACCTGTTTAGAGCCACTTCTCGTCGCATCAAATTGGACTTATATAGTTTTGAATCAATTATCCTCTTGCTCTTTATAAAAAAGTTATTCTGGGTCTTATGGTGTCAGCTTTTACATTTTGGTGTGTGAGAAAGACATTCAACTCATACATTTCATAGATATTATATTATCTATATTATATTCTAGTGACTATACGTGCCTCTTTTATTTCAAGTATGGTAAACTCAAAGCTGCTTATACTTGGAATGATCTGATCTTAATATGAAATTTCATTTTAGCATAGACCGTGCCATTCTGTTCTCATCTTGTTTATATAGATTTATCTGAAACTCTAGCTGATCAAAATTCGGACATCTTTGTCTGAAATGCAGAAAAAGGCAATAGAGAGAATGTCTGATTTGTTGAGTATGGAAGATTTTGAAAGCATGAAACAGAGTAATAATAATTTGAGCTCTTTGGAGATACTGTTGCAAGTTGCCTTTGTTGCTGCCAAAAAGTAGTATGATTGCCCAATATGAATAATGAAAATATTGAGCCTAACTTGGGTAGAAATGACATGTCTTGTAAAGGAGCTCGAACAATACTGGTCAAAGAGAAGATGAAGCCTCTAAAATTTGTGATAAGGAGACGACATAATGAGGACCAAAATCTCATCAGCTATGCCATTAAAGACCCCTCAATGATACATGATGCGAAAAGAAAGTCTGGTGACTTGATTGAAAGTACTATCTTTAGTTTAATTGGTGAATCATATGGTTTCAAAATTAGTCTTATATTTTTGTTATGGTTTATTTGATTGATTGCTTTTTTTGTGTAACAGAAGGATAGGTCTTCAAAAAAGACTGATACACTAAAGAGAAAATTGGAAGAAACTAAGTAACAAAGAGTGGATTGAGGCTATAGAAATGAAGAGAAAGAAGAACAAGAAGAAGCCGGGTAGTCACCAAAATCCACCACCACGACCAAGGTTGTTGAAAGAATTTGAAAGAAAGATTATAGATGAATATGGCGGAACAAGAATCACAAGAGTCATACAAAAGTCCTTAACTAGTACGGATGTAAGCAAAGGACATAGTCGGGTCATAATACCTTGTAACCAAGTTGAAAGCTTCAAGTTCTTGGATGAAAATGAGATGACACAACTAAGGCTTGGGCAATCCATTACGGTGCCTTTGATTCACACACCAAGAAGAAATGGGGTGGCTCTTCCTCTTATAGAGACATCAATGGAATTGGAACAGTGGGATTTGCATAAAGATAAGAATGATATTCAGAAAGTAAGTTATCAATATGTTTTGAGAACTAACTGGAATACAATAGTTTTAAGAGATGGACTTCAACAAACTGACACGATTCAGATTTGGGCATTTCGTGATGTTCACAACAAGCTTTGTATGGCACTTGTCAAGCTTTGAGGATGATGATGAAGAAGAAAGAGAAGCAACGCAACAAGTCAATAGAAGCACAAAGGAATTCAATTTAGAACTTCAAATTTTTCCTTTTTTTTTTTTTTAAATTGTAGATAGCAGTGTAGGCTTTTAACGCAGTCACAATTTAGATGCCCATTATTTTAGTGTAATCGAGATTGATTGCAATAAAAGCATAAATCAGTTCATTCTTCTTTAGCTTTTTGTGAGTTATAGTATGTTAGATATTCTTTTTTTTTTTTAATCAGTTAATTTAGTAGTTTTTTTTGTACTGCTTAGTTTTTGATATCATTTTAATATGATGCAAGCTCAATTAAATCAATTAAACAAGCAGAGGAATAATTCTATTGTTACATATTATATTGAGCCTACATTCATTTCAATAAATCACGAGTGAATCTTAAAGAATCATGTTAGCTTCATCAACGCTACTCAATGTGTATGTGCAACAAAACAAGTGGCTACGTGGTTTGCTTAATATTTTTTTCATGTGTCTTGGTAAAAGAAAAGGAAATCAAAGAAACACATTTATATACTCCCTCCGGTCCTAAATATAAAAGCTAATTAAAATGTTTGTTTAATGGTAGAGCAGTTAGAAAGTTTTGGAGTGCTAAGTGGTGGAACAGAATGGTGGAGGAGGAGGAGGAGGAGGAAAAAGTGGGTTTTACCGGAAGATGGACTGGTTAAAATTAATTGTGATGGATACTTTGAACCAGAAACTGGTTCTGCTACAAGAGGTGTGATGCGTAGGAATAAAAAGGGTGTGATGCAGTGGTGTTTTGTTGCTAGGACATTAGCTGTGCAGAAGACTTTTTGCCTTGTGAAGGAAGTAAGAGCTGTAATAGAAGTGGATTGTGCTGATGTTTTCTGGTGATGCAAGAAGGGGAATATGGTGAGGGTGCAGATTGAAGAAGTGGATGAGAACTACAATATGTCATCTCAGCATTAATTCTGCAGGAGGTATAAGGACTGAGGAAGAGTGCAAGGCCGAAAGAAATGGAATTGGTTGAGGTTTCAAGCTTGCTGTGATGGCTTTCGAGTTTATTTGTATTTGCTGTTAGTTGTCATGTTTGTATTTTTACTGTGACTTTGTAATATTGTTCTAGTTTGGTAACGAGTGATTGTTTTGCTTTTTTCTTTTCTTTTTCTGGTTTAGTTGTTTGTGCTCGTTCATATCTTTATGCTTTTTGAGAGTTTTTTTTTTAATAACTTCAGCTATAATATAAATCTTTAATTTACTCTATGTCCCAAATCTATAATTTTTTTTAAATAATATCTATTGATTGCATTTACTAAGAGAGATATCATCAAGGATAATTTCAATTTCAATGCAAACAATGAGAAAAAATATTTTAAGAAAACCAACACATATCTTTTATAAATAACTAAATTAATTTTCTTAATTTTTGCAAAGGTTAATAAAAACTTTGATCTTTTAAGTTAATCATCATTTTGGTTTTAATCCCTCAAATTTTAAACCATAGGTTTTAGTCCCTCAAATTTTTTTTAATTTAAAATATTGATCCCCATAATCTAATAAAAACTTGGAATGTTTTATTCCTTAAGAAACCAAAACCTATAATTTGAAACTTGAGGAACTAAAACTAAAATAAAAGCAAACTTTATAAACCAAAGATTATATTAACTTTTTTTGCAGATTAGTTATGTTGTATAATTAGAATGGGAAGGAGCATGATATATCTCGATCAGGTTTTGATAAAACCGGAGATTATCGTCACTAATTCAATACAAAATTCCGTCACTCTCTCTACCTAAATTGGTTTGGGCTCATGGGTTCAAGGCCCAGTTGACATCGAAGTCCATCGCTTTGCACTTTGTTGAAAGTCCCCTTTGACTATTAGACTTTTAGCTTACAACATGAATCGATAGGGACATGGGGCGGGCTTGGTTTGGTATGTAGTTGACACACCCACACACAGAGTAAGCTAAATGAAAGCTTGAAGGGTGCCAACAACAGCTATATATAATATATGAATAAAACTCATGCAAATCAATTCCCATAATTGATCAAATGAGTTCGTGACAAAATTGTAAATACAATTCAAAGTGAGTAATTCATTGCCAAGTGTACATTCTCAGAGTATAAGGTACAACATTAGTGCTAAACAACATTAAAAGGACCTCCACAAAGAGACGCGGCCTGCGCATGGATCCTCAAAAGAGCTGTTATGTCTTAGCCACCATATTATTCACATCAAGCCAGCATTCCTATTTACTAAAAATCAAACTGAGAAGTGTGATCTAGTAAAAGTATAAATTGTCTTATTCACCAGGAAGAGAATGGCAACTGTTATGATATTGGTATCCAACATCTTTCATATTATGGACCAAGTTACTGATTATTCCACATATCTCTACAATTTGGCCATGACACTTGTCCTTGGCTCTAAACTCATGTCTTGTATTTCTTAACTCAATCCAACTGCAACCTGCCTCTTTCTTTAAGCCTTTCTCCTTCATGATTCTTTTGATTCTATTGGCATCATTCCATCTTCCTAATGCTGCATATATGTTTGACAGCATAACATATCTAGCTGTGTTTTCAGGTTCATGCTTGAACAGAGCTTCTGCAGACCTACTTGCAAGGTCCAAATTCCCATGGACACGACAAGCAGCCAGTAGTGCTCCCCAAATGGCAATGTGATCCGTAGCATCTGGTGTTCTCTCGATTAAATCCAGAGCTTCCTCGAATCTGTTTTTCCTCCCAAGCAAATCAATCAATATAGCATAGTGATCAAGTCTGGGCTTCAAGCCATACTGCTTTTCCATCATGTCTTTCAACTCTAGTCCTTCATTATCTAAACCTGCATGGTCACAAGCAGATAGCAAGCCAAGAAATGTCACATGATTTGGCTTTACATTGGCTTCTATCATCCTTTTGAAGAGAGCCAGTGATTCCTCACCGTGGCCATTCTGTGCAAACCCGGTTATTAATGTGTTCCAAGAGATTATATCCCTCAAAGGAGCCGTGTTGAACAAATTTTCAGCCGATTTCATATCCCCGCACTTGCTGTACATATCAATTAAAGCATTACTTGCTGTACATATCAATTAAAGCAGATCAGATAAGTAGCCATTATTGCTGTTTTTGATAATGTGACCATGGATTTGTTTACCTCTTTCAATAAGTGCCATATCTGCACAAGCACTTAAGGCAGTGACATTAGTTGGAGCACTAGGCCATACTCCTTCCTCCAGCATTTGCCCAAAAAGATCCAGAGCTTCCTCAAAACGCCCATTTCGTGCGAAACCCGTTATCAAAGCAGTCCAAGACACATTATTTTTCATTGGCATTTCGTTAAATATCCTACACGCCTCTTCCAATCTAGTAGCCCTTGTGTAAGCCGCAATCATCGAAGTCCAAGACACAACATCTCTCTCTGGCATTCCATAAAATATAGAACTAGAGATGTTGGGTAAGTCACATTTTCCATAAGCATCAATTAAAGCATTGTTAAGGACTACGTTCCCCTCCAAACCAATTATAACTGCGATCCCATGGACTTGACGCAACCAATAAAGGGAAGCTAAAGAGGCACAACTGCCAACTATGCTAACGAGCGTAAACTCATCTAATAGTAAACAATCATAATCCTTCTGCATCTTCCAGAAAAGCTTCACTGATTCTTTGTGAAACGCATTATGTGTCAGACCAGTGATCAATGAATTATAACTGATAAGATTTGGTTCAGGCATTTTATCAAACAGTGAGTGAGCCCTGTCAAACAAACCCATTTTAGAGTAGAAAGAGATCATCATATTCCACGTACGTGTTGTCTTATGGGAAAGATCCTCAAAGGCCCTTTGGGCACTCTCCACACAGCTGCACTTAATGTACATGTCTATGAGACGGTTGGTAAGGAAAGAATCGAAGAAAAATGCGGATTTGATAAGATGAGAGTGCAAGGCCTCGCCAAGTTTCAAATTTCTGGTTGTGATGCATTGAGAAATGAGAAATGCGTACTTCTCAACGGAGGAGCAGATAGCACCATGAAGCATGATCAGAGACTTCAACACATTAAGTCAAAGATATGAAGGGGAAATCATCGGGAAAGGAATTGTAAGCTCTGACAATGCAAATTGTTTGATAATATGCCCCAAAGTAACAATTTCAGTTGAAAGGCGATTTTGAAGTGCCTAATTCCCAATGAAATGGGGCCAAACCCATTGTAAGATGTTCTACCTGAAATGATGACATCCAAATAAGCCCCAACTCTTTCCCACTTGAGACAACGGATATTAGCATAAGGAAAGCAAAAATACAAACGAGATCACCTGCTATAAGAGTAGAAAGAATATGGAGATCGGCTTCCGTCTCTTCTGCTCCTCCTGCTATGCCTGTGTCCGACTGGGGATGGCGAATGTCTTTGCCTATAAGATGGTGATCGGGATCGGGATAAGTCTCGAGGCATTTTCTAACATTGAACTTCAGTATGCCAGATATTTCTCAATTTTGAGCTTTAATTTCCCTGTAATAAAGAAATACGCGCACACAAATAGAACAGGTTTCAAAGAGAACAAAACATTGGCCAAAAAGAAAAAGCGAGAACAAGAAGAGTTCCCATTGCAAGGTCATCAAACAGAGTTAAAAAAGTCAAACGGATAATCGATACCCCAAGCATATGAAACGTCAGTAGTTAAATTGCGGCGAAAAGAAGAAATCAAAAACCCAATTAATGCAAACCAACAAAAGGATTGTCATTTTCTGTACTGTTCACATGCGCAAATAAACAATAAGCAGTGTTTATTTAAAAAAAAAATTGCAAGTTTTCACCTGAAAATCCCAGAGAAATCTCAAATAAAGCAATCAACATCTGTACGTTCAGAGGTTGAGGAAGAAATCCAGTTACATCCAAGTCCCACCCAATCTCAGTCCCCAAAAAAAAGTCCCACCCAATCAAGTAAACGATGAGATAATCTCAATCGAAAAAATCAAATTTAATAGATAAACTATTGTGATTAAATTATGTTATTATTAATCTCGGTTAATTCATCAATCTGACTTCCTTCAAGTTCCTTGATATTTTCGGAAAACAAACGGAGGGCGCACAGATAACGTTAGCACAGTTAAAGTTCCAAAACCCAACAGGGAGAGAATTTAGTGGATTTACCAGCTGAAGCAAATTACTGAGTAACATTGGCGATGTGAGCAGCCAAGAGTGTAGGATAAAGTATAGATTTAGAGCTTTTACTTTAATGTTAAAATTGTCGGGTTTAAATGATGATTTTTATAATAATTATGATTGTTTTGAAAATTAAAATTAACCGACTTAAAAAAAATCTTTTCCCTTAAAGTTTTCAAAAAGGAAATGTGAGTATTCAAAAGTTTTTCTTAGTACAATTTTTGGCCTGAAAGTAGTAAAAAAAATGTAACAATTTCACCATACCCTAAATTGTCATTTGACTTTCATATAATATATCAATTTATAGGGGACCTAAATTAGTTTGAGAGAAAATAATAAATATGAGAAGTAAAGTAGATTAAAATATTATATTTAAAACGAACTCTAATTCCTAACTAACTCTTATATTAAAGATAAGGAATATATATCTATATTTTTATTTATTTATTTTATCATAGATATAACATTTTTCAATTTTATTTATTATATAAAAACTATATATATGTTTGTTTTACATGTTGTATTGAGCTTTTAAAATTATCACTAAAGGAAATAATAACTTTAAAAAAAAATACTTCCTATAGATTTTATTATATTTTATATTGATATATTCTCTTATCATTTTCGGTATCTTTTATCAATCAAAGGTTTGAAGATATTTCTAGTTTGATTTTTTTTTTTTGGGTTGAATGTTCTAGATGCTGATAATGATGATGAAAGGGAAAAGCTTTATTTTTTCATATTTTTTTGTCTACATATTCAGTAATTGTCATTGTCAATAGTTTCCTATTGACTTGTTAATATGTACTCAAAACTTTTTAATGACTTTCTACAACAAAATTATTATATAAACTCATCATTTTATCTGATATTAGAAAATTATTATATAAACTCATCATTTTATCTGATATTAGTATGCATATTTTGGTCACACATGATTTTAGTTTAACAATTGTTCTATAACACTCCTTTATTATAATTTGATTTTATGTGAAGATTATGTTATCTCACAAGTTTAGTTGTCAATTGACATTCACTAACTTGTTAATAGCTTCTCATTGACCTATTTAACCTACTCCCATGAGCTTGTTAATCGGAGGCAAAGGCAATGACGTAATTTTTTATTTAAAATATATTACTCTCAAGTGTTACGTGACTTTCTATTTATTTTGAGATTTCAAAAGACCTTAGATTAATAAACTGTGCTATTTGGAACTTTTGTGTAATTTTTCTTTTTTAATACTCTTTTATAAAATTTTTAGATATTGATGTTTAATATTTTGGGAAAAAGACAGAAAAATGGACCTTTAACTTCAAAAGTTCAAAAACGTCCGTCCAATTCCACAAATCCCATTTTGGTACCATGAGACCAAATTGGGATTATTATGTGAAAGGAAAAGACCACATTGCCCTTCATTTTAAATATTATTTTTAAAATATCACAGCTCCTACTGGCTGGCCGGTCACCGGACCTTCGGCGGCGGCGGTCACCGGAGCTCCGGCGACCAGCCGACAATTGGTCATCGGAGCTCCGTCGATCGGATTTTTTTTTTTGAAAATTTTTACAACTTCAATATAACAGTTAATAACTTTTGTAATGCTATTAACAACTTCAGTATAGCAATTAACAACAGCTCTTTTGGAAAATTCAACAAACTCCGGCGACCGGAAATAATTATTTTGAAAATTTTTACAACTTCAATATAACCGTTAACAACTTTTGTAATGCCATTCACAACTTCAATATAGCAATTAACAACAGGTTTTCTGGGAAATTCAATAAAGTCCGGCGACCGGAAACAATTTTTTTGAAAATTTTTACAACTTCAATATAACGATTAACAATTTTTGTACTGCTATTAACAATTTCAATATAGCAATTAACAACAACAAACTCAGGCGACCGGAAACAATTTTTTTGAAAATTTTTACAACTTCAATATAACGGTTAACAACTTTTGTAAGCCTATTAACAACTTCAGTATAGCGGTTAACAACAGGTTTTTGAGTTTGTTAAAGGCATTACTGAAGTTATAAAAATGTCACTTTTTGAATTTAAAAACTTGTTGTTAACTGCTATATCAAAGTTGTTAACCGTTATATTGGAGTTGTAAAAATTTTCAAAAAAACGTAATTGTTAACGTTATACTGAAGTTGAAAATTTTTACAACTTCAATATAACGGTTAACAACTTTTATAATGCTATTAACAACTTCAATATAGCAATTAACAACAAGTTTTCTGGGAAATTTAACAAACTCCGGCGACCGGAAATAATTTTTTTAAAAATTTTTACAACTTCAATATAGCGGTTAACAACTTTTGTAACCCTATTAACAACTTCAGTATAGCGGTTAACAACAGGTTTTTGAGTTTGTTAAAGGTATTACTGAAGTTATAAAAATGTCACTTTTTGAATTTAAAAAATTGTTGTTAACTGCTATATCAAAGTTGTTAACCGTTATATTGGAGTTGTAAAAATTTTCAAAAAAACATCATTGTTAACGTTATACTGAAGTTGAAAATTTTTACAACTTTAATATAACGGTTAACAACTTTTATAATGCTATTAACAACTTCAATATAGCAATTAACAATAAGTTTTCTGGGAAATTCAACAAACTCCGGCGACCGGGAATAATTTTTTTGAAAATTTTTACAACTTCAATATAGCTGTTAACAACTTTTGTAAGCCTATTAACAATTTTAGTATAGCAGTTAATAACAGGTTTTTGAGTTTGTTAAAGGCATTACTGAAGTTATAAAAATGTCACTTTTTGAATTTAAAAACTTGTTGTTAACTGCTATATCAAAGTTGTTAACCGTTATATTGGAATTGTAAAAATTTTCAAAAAAACGTAATTGTTAACGTTATATTGAAGTTGAAAATTTTTACAACTTCAATATAACGGTTAACAACTTTTATAATGCTATTAACAACTTCAATATAGCAATTAACAATAAGTTTTCTGGGAAATTCAACAAACTCCGGCGACCGGAAATAATTTTTTTGAAAATTTTTACAACTTCAGTATAACGGTTAACAATTTTTGTAACCCTATTAACAATTTCAGTATAGTGGTTAACAACAGATTTTTTTGAAAAATTATATAACTCAAAAACCTGTTGTTAACCGCCATACTGAAGTTGTTAATAGGGTTACAAAAGTTGTTAACCGTTATACTGAAGTTGTAAAAATTTTCAAAAAAATTGTTTTCGGTCGCCGGAGTTTGTTGAATTTCCCAGAAAAGCTGTTGTTAATTGCTATACTGAAATTGTTAATAGCAGTACAAAAGTTGTTAACCGTTATATTGAAGTTGTAAAAATTTTCAAAAAAATTGTTTCCGGTCGCCAGAGTTTATTGAATTTCCCAGAAAACCTGTTGTTAATTGCTATATTGAAGTTGTGAATGGCATTACAAAAGTTGTTAACGGTTATATTGAAGTTGTAAAAATTTTCAAAATAATTTTTTCTGGTCGCCGGAGTTTGTTGAATTTCCCAGAAAAGCTGTTGTTAATTGCTATATTGAAGTTATTAATAGCAGTACAAAAGTTGTTAACCGTTATATTGAAGTTGTAAAAATTTTCAAAAAAATTGTTTCCGGTCGCCGGAGTTTATTGAATTTCCCAGAAAACCTGTTGTTAATTGCTATATTGAAGTTGTGAATGGCATTACAAAAGTTGTTAATGGTTATATTGAAATTGTAAAAATTTTCAAAATAATTGTTTCCGGTCGCCGAAGTTTGTTGAATTTCCCAGAAAAGCTATTGTTAATTGCTATATTGAAGTTGTTAATAGCATTACAAAAGTTGTTAACCGTTATATTGAAGTTGTAAAAATTTTCAAAAAAAAATCCGACCGACGGAGCTCCGGTGACCAATTGTCGGCTGGCCGCCGGAGCTCCGGTGACCGCCGCCGCCGAAGGTCCAGTGACCGGCTGGCCAGTAGGGGCTGTGATATTTTTAAAATAATATTTAAAATGAAGGGCAATGTGGTCTTTTCCTTTCACATAATAATCCCAATTTGGTCTCATG